TCCGAGCCGGACTCCCACGACGCGCGGCGCCACGGCTGGACCTCCGGGCCTGGGTGGATGGGTCCGCCACGCTGGCGCTCCACCGCCTGAGCCGCTGTCCCAGCGCTGCCTTTCCCCCTAGACTTCTGGCGAGGGGGTGCGGTGAATTCCGCTTGCCCAGGCTAGCTTTGGACGACCGTGCTTGGGCTCCCGGCCTTCCCGAGAAACAAGGCAGGCCATGTTGTGATCCTGCCTCCCCCTTCTTTCAGCTCCCGCACAAGTAAACTTCCTCAAACTTCCCCAATCCAGGTGTACAGCTTGCACTCAGGGTCCCGGTTCGAACCTCCCCTCTGTGTGGCTGCGCCGGCCCCGTCGCTGCTGATCGTGACACCACCGGTCTGCGCGTGTTCTGCGCCCTGGCCAGGCCTCGTGGGCCCAGGCCTCGTCTCTCTAGCTTCAAGTCTGGCGGGGTCAGAGCACAGGATGCTTTGTAATTTTCCTCAAGAATTAGGCTGTCCGGGCTGGGAAGGTGGCTCAGTGGTAGAGCGCTTGCTTCGCATGCATGAGGCCCTGGGTTTGCTTCCTCAGCACCAAATACACAGAAAAAGCCATTAGTGGCGCTGTGGCTCAAGTGGTAGACTGCTAGCCTTGAGCTGAGGAGCTGAGGGACAGCGCCCAGGACCAGAGTTCAGGCCCCATAACTGACCCAAAAAAGAAAAAGAATTAGGCTGTTCCCCCTGGAAATCTTTCCCTTTGGAAAATCCTAGTTTTATTTTGTGCCAGTATTGGGGCTTCGACTCGGCCTCACATCCTCTTGTGCTTTTTAGCTCAAAAACGGCACGCTACTACTTGAGCTCCACTTCCACTTCTGGCATTTTGCTGGGCCTTTGGAATTAGTCTCAGATGTATCTGCCCAGGCTGACTTTGAACTGGGGGCCTCAGATCTCAGCATCCTGAGTAGCTAAGATTGCAGGTGTGAGCCACTAGCATTCAGCAAATCCTTATCTTTCAAACTGCAGGCTGTTCCTTCTTGTACTCCCATTCCTGCTTCTGTACATAGGACTTACTTTGCTACTACATCTCCCCAGTTCTTGTTTGCATTTATTTCTACTAGGCTGTAGGGGTATTTATCTTTGTATCCCCAAGGCTTGGCCCAGTACCTGGCTCATTACAGATGCAAAATAAATGGAGTTCAGTGGCTCAGAAATAGGGGCTTCTTACTTACCTTTTTATATTGTGCATAGTGCAGAGGCTGGCAACTAGTTAGTATTCAAGTGTCTAAAGAATCAGAACAAGTATTGATAAGGAAATGGAAAGGATGCTAAACAGTATCTTACTGCCTTAAATAAACCATAGCTTTAGGAACAAATTATATTAGTGCTATTGAAAGGATTTAGACTTGACACTTAATTTTTGGTGATACTAGAGCCTTGCTAGGCAGGCACTCTACTACTTGAGCCACACCTCCAGTTTTAGACTTGTTTTTTTTTTTTTGGCAGTCATAGGGTTTAAACTTGGGGCCTGGGTGCTATCCCTGAGCTTTTTTGCTCAGGGATAGTGCTCTACCACCTTGAGCCACAGCGCCACTTTTGTTTTTCTGGTGGTTAATTGGAGATAAAAGTCTCATGGATATTCCTACTCTGGCTGGCTTCAAACTGATCCTCAAATCTCGGCCTCCTGAGTAGCTAGGTTTACAGGTACCACTGGCACACAGCAAGACATGCTACTTTCAAGGAACTATGGAGAAAGAATAATTCATTTAGGCTTCATATGCTGGGTACTGTGCTAAGTGCTCTGCACATACAATTTCAGATGTGCTACAAGACTGGAGTTGGCTAATGTGTCCTCTATCTCCAGATTCAGTGTGACTGCTTGGGTCAGGTCACCTGGTAGCCCTGAAAATAGGTTGAGAACCTACAGTAGTCTTTCATATCCCCTACACAATGCAACATGTGCATTAAAAATTAGTTAAGTGAAATGAAGAACAGGCATAGACTTTTGAAAACTGAATCAAGCTGGGCGCCCGCCCGTGGCTCACTCCTGTAATCCTAGCTATTCAGGAGGCTGAGATCTGAGGACTGCAGTTCAAAGCCAGCCTGGGTAGGAAAGCCTATGAGAATCTTATCTTCAATAAACCACCAGAAAAGTGGAAGTTACACTGTGGCTCAAGTGGTAGAGTGCTAGCCTTGAGCTGAAGAGGTGAGGGACAGCACCCAGGCTCAGAGTTCAAGCCCCACGACCAACAACAACAACAACAACAAAAAGAAAATTGGATCAAATGCTTAGGGAGATGTTTTTGTCTCAACACACTTTCCTGCTCTGGCTGGCTTTTGAGATCCTCAAGTCTCAGCCTCCTGACTAGCTAGAATCACATGTGTGAATTACTAGTACCAAGAACTTTGGCTTACTTCTTGAGAACAGATGTATCTGATGGGTTAATCTCACTGATTAAGGTTCTTCCCATTGCCAAGACTGGATGAGGGGAGAATACAGCGGTAGGTCCAAGGGGGAGTGAGCAAGCTCTTAAAATATGCCAAACTTCTGAGCAGTAGGGACAGAAAGGAGGTTTCAATACAAGAATCGGAGACTTATCCCACTGCCAAGAATATATCCAGACACCTCCTTTATTTTCTTTCCATTCTCCTACATCTTGTGGGTCACGGTCTCTTCATGGTGCTCTCAATGTATGATTCCAGCAAGAAAATCGTTTCATCCACCTGGATCTCACTGGCATCCAACCTGAGTGGAAAAGGCAAATCATGTTTCCACATTGAAGGCGCATTCAGGATCAGAGGATGGGGTAGGTGTGGCCAGGGAACATTGCTTGGTTACCGCTGGGAGGAATGGGTGGAAAGCAAAAGGAACAACTGTATCATTCTCCCATTTACTAAGCATCTCATATGCTAGGTACAGTGGAACCTGCTAAGGAAGCAAAAGATGCAGCCTCCGTCCTGCAGGGGACGGGTGTAGTATATAACCTGTAACCTCAAGAAAGAATATCACATGGAAAAGTACAGGCAAAAGGGCTTAATATATCTACAATTTTTTTTCTTTTTTTTTGTGCCAGTACTGGGGCTTGAACTCAGGGCCCCACATTCCCATTTGTTTTTGTTACTCAAGGCTGGCACTCTACCACTTAAGCCAGAGCTCCATTTCTGAATTTTTGCTGGTTAATTGGAGATAAGAGTCTCACAGACATTTCTACATGGGACTGGCTTGGAACTGTGATCCTCAGATCTCAGCCTCCTGAGTAGCAGCATTAATATGTTTTTGGATGGTGAGACACTGACAATGGCTGAAGCTTAAGGTGATGAGGAAGAAGGGAACATCTTTAACCTAGTAAGTGCCCTTAGGAACAACCACAGCTAATATCTTTCCCCCCCCACAGTACTGGGTTTGAAATCAGCACCTCACACTTGATAGAAAGGTATTCTGCTGCTTAGCCATGCCTCTAGCCCTTTCCTACAATGTTTTCTGCATGCTACTGTGTCCAGTTTCCTCCACTGAAATGTTGTTCAAGGACTTTTTTTTTTCCCCCCGGTTGTGGGGCTTGAACTCTGGGCCTGAGCGCTGTCCCTTAGCTCTTCAGCTCAAGGCGAGCGCTCTACCACTTGAGCTACAGTGCCACTTCCGGTTTTCAGAGTGTTTATTGGAGATAAGTTTCACGGACTTTCCTGCCCAGGCTGGCTTTGAACCACGATCCTCAGATCTCAGCCTCCTGAGTAGCTAGGATTATAGGTGTGAGCCACCAGCGCCTGGCTTGTTCAAGGACTTTCTGCTTGGCTTGGCAAACTGATTCTCCCAACATCAGCCTCCTTTGTAGCTAGGATGATGGAGGCACATCATTGTGCCTAGCAGCTCAGTCTCATTCTTTTTTTTTTTTTGGTGCCTGTCTGGGGCTTGAAAACAGCGCCTAGAGGGTCTAGTCAGGGCAACTAGACAAGGAAAAGAAAAAAGGCATCTAGATTAAAAAGAAAGAAACAGAACTATCTGCAATTCATAGATATTCTATGTATCATAGGATATCTATGAATCCACTGAAAGCAAATCTGAAAAAAAAAGACTGGAATAAATTTAGAATAAATCAAAGGACATAAAGTCCAAACACAAAAATCAGTTATTTTGGGGCTGGGAAGGTGGCTCAGTGATAGAGTGCTTGCCTTACATGCATGAGGCCCTGAGTTTGATTCCTCAGCACCACATAAGCAAAAAGAAAAAAGCCGGAAGTGGCTCTGTGGCTCAAGTGGTAGAGTGCTCGCCTTGAGCTGAAGAGTGCAGGGACAGTGCCTAAGCCCAGAGTTCAAGCCCCATGACTGACAAAAAAGAAAAAAGATTTAGCATTGTCAAGACCTTATGAATGAAGGTGGGTAGTGAGGAGGAGGAAATGAAGATGGAGACAGGAAACTGTGGAAGGCCTCTTGTTATGCCAAATCTGGCTTTTTATTGCTGTAAATATGAGAAGTCATTAGATCATTTGCAGAAGAGTGCTATTATCAATAACTGTAAAGATACTAACTTTGAGAATATTGAGGGAGACGGATAAGAGGGGAAGTCATTGTGAAGGTCTAGGAAAGAGACTAAGATGAAAACCTTCAGTGCTTAGTGAACAACAGCAGCATAGAGGAGAAGTTGATGATGTCTTCAAAACTACTTATTTAGAGCCAGGCACTAGTGGCTCATGCCTTTAATCCTAACTACTGAGGAGGCTAAGATATGAGGATCATGAGGATCATGGTTCCAAGCCAACCTGGTCCACGAGACTCTTAACTCTACTTAATCATCAAAAAGCTGCAAGTGGAGATATGGCTCAAGTGACAGAGCATCAGTCTTTAATGAAAAGGCTAAGGACAGCACTGGCCCTGAGATCAAGCCTCACTACAGTCAGAAGAGGAAAAAAATGGCTTATTTAGGAAAATAGGTGGATTAAATTCTGTTATATGAGCTACAGAAGACAATGAGTTCAGGTTTGCCTCTGTTAGTGGGAGGGGTGTCAGGACATCCAGATGGATTTGTCTGGAAGGTGTGTTTAAGTGTAGGTCTGAGTTGGAGTCCTTACTTGTTGACATTGCGTTTCAGGGTCTCTAGCTGCTGCCGTTCAGGGGCGGTGATCATTTCCTCTATTTCCTGTAGCTGTACCTCCTCGGCACCCGTGGCCTGCATCGATGCAATGATGGCTTCTACCCTCTGTGACTTCTCTAGCAGTCGCCTGTCAGATAAGCACAGCTCTGAGGTCTGTCCCCGGACTTGTTCCTTATCTCTGCGGCACAGCTTCCCCTGTGCCTGGTCCTCAGTCAAGGTGGGTGTCACCACGTGAGGACAGTTCCTGTCAACTCGGTTACAAAATAACTTCCTCCTGAAACTCCTCCTGCTTCGCTGATGTACTTAAAAAGTTTAGGATGTTTGTACAGTCTCATCAACTTAACCTGAAAATTTATTTTATTGGATGTTATAAATATAGGTAAAAACTCAATAGTGGAATCCCCTCTCCCCCTGTATACATAAGAAGATAATAATAATGATAATAATAAAAGAAAGACTTCAGTGGAAATATAGTCAAAGGTGTATATTCGAAAGCCAATGTTTCAATGCAACCATTGCAGTATTGTCTCCATTTCCACAGGAAATTCCTTCTCAGGCTTCAAAGCTTGAAAAGTGGGAAAAAGTAAAAAAGGACCCAATTGAAACTGCTACTCACTTGTTCTCTTTGGTTTCAAACTGCCTCCTTTCTATCAAGTTGGCAATGCTCTGAGGAAGGAGAAGGGCAGAAACGCAGGAAGTTTTACTTAAGTAGCTCAGATAAAACGAGCAACGGAGGCATGAAGGACGAAGATTCATGCGGGGTTACCTTGTAGCACCTGTGCAATAACATCCGGGCAGCTGACAGGACATTCACAGTGTATAAATAGAAGGTTCTGGATGGGGCATGGTCTGGCGTTTTGGGAATTTCCTGTTTGTTTACAAAAAGAAAAGAAGAGAACTTGTGTTGTTCTTCTGAACTCACAAGTTCACCCGCTTCCCTCCAGGGCCACTTAGTCCTCTCTTTAATAATGCCCTCCCTCTCCCCAGTCATTCAGGAGCCATATTATTGCATAATGAGCCATATGAAGGTCGGTCGACTCTGTGACCCTGTTTGTCCTACTTGACTATCAGCACTGAGTGGGGAGGAAAGGGAAGGCAACTAATGTGTTCTGAGCACAGTGTGAATTCTATTTGGCCCTTATCTAATTGTGATATTTTTGGGGTGGTTACTAGGATTTGAACTCAGGGCCTCTAGTTTGTTAAGATAGGCACTCTATCACTGAACCATTCCTCTACATCTTATGATTATTTGAGACAGGGACTCCCTATATAGACTAGGCTGAACTTAACTTTCTCTTTCTTTTCTGGTGGTACCGAGGACTGAAATCAGGCCTTAGGCAAAGTGCTCGACCGCTTGGCCCACGCTCTCTGGCCCTTTGTATTACAAACTTTAGCTATTATGGTCCTTACTGAGGTGGGGGTAAGCTTTATGCCTAGGGTGGACAGGGCTCCATCTTTCTACTCATGTTTCCCCATGTCACTGGAGTGACAGGCACATACCACCGCGCCCAACCACTCATTTGAGATGGAGCCTTTTCCCTGGGCTGGCCTCTAACCTCTAACCTTGATCCCCTTATCTCTGACCCCAAATAAGATAGTAGCTTGAGCTACTGTACCCCATGCTGGCCTAAACTCTTGATCCTCCTGCTTCAGTCTCTCCAGTTCTGGGATTATTATCATTCACCACTTCTCCTGGCCCAAACTATATTATTCTTAGTGCCAGTATCTATCACCATTTTACAGAGGGGGAAAAATGCTGGTAGAAAGATGCTCAGTGTAACAGGGTAAGAGGCAGAGCTGTGGACTGACGTCACAATCCATCCAACCTACTTCCTCACAAGGCCTTTGACATGGCTCTTTGAGGACCCAGAAGATGCTGTTAATAATTTAACCCACCATGGATTTAAGACACAAAGAAAGGACAGCAATGAGGGGAAAAAAATGAGAAGGGTACTTGTGAGGTAGTTTCACGGCTCTTTTGCTTTCTTACTAGGCTGAAGCTCTACATTGTCCTTAAAGTGCTGGCAATATCTGTTCAGAACTGTTTTCTGTCTTACAGCTGGAAATGGAGTTTATTGGGCGTGGGGCAAGATGTCGGCTTGGGAGTTTCTCTCACTGCAGGTCAGCTTTGCTGGCTGGCAGTCATTACAACTTCAGTTACCTGGAGAGAGATGAAATTTTCTGAGAGCATTTTATATAGCATGTCCTTTGCTTCTTTTGCCGGAATCATTGCAAAGTCCTCCACCTGCTTCTGTTCCAGGTGCTTCTTTTGTAAAACTAGACGGAATATTCTGGCACAACGAGAACCAAATCTGGAAAGAAATGAAGTCAGCAAATGATGGGCTAGCACAGAATTGGGTGGGCTAGCTTTGGCTTGCAGGATGCCAATAGATCTGAGGGGAACAACAATCAGAGATTTGTGTCCTAGCTCCGCAGGTTGGTGATGGATGCCACTGTTAATCATGTAAGTCACCTAGTAACTCATGTGAGCGCCACAGTCCTTACAATGCTTTAGAGGCTCGTTAATTTGCATCATTGGGAATTAAGTGGCAGGCTTTTTTTTCAGGGTGAAGAATAGTCATATATGGCTTCATGGAAACATCAGACAAAGTGTACCAAGGTGTGCCTACATTGGTTGCTTACATAATGACCAAATTATTTGTTAACTAGAGTTTGGCTAGAAGGATTTTACTCCCGTCCCAATAAGGATGACCCCTTACCTCTCCTGTACCACAGACTCCAGCGTAGCGGTGGCCAGGGAAGCTAATGCTTTATGCAGGTCTTTATGTGGACCATTAAGGCGCTTCAGTCATGTTTTTGGTCTGTCCTTGGATTCATTATAGCTAAAGTTTAAATGCTATTATGTTTTCTATATTTTTTCCATTATGATACAGAAGTTTGTTAAAATTTTAATTTCATGAGCATATTTAAGAAAGGGTTTTATCTGAAACCAACCTTCCTTCCTTCTTGTTTCCCTGCATCCCTCTTCTTCCTTCTTTTCTTCCTTCCTTCTATCCTCTTTTCTACCCTCCTTTCCCCCTCCCCCTTTCTGGAGCTGGTACCTAGGGCCTTGTACCTGCTAGACAAGTGCTCTGCTGTCTGAGCTATATCCCTGGGCTTTAAAATTGTTTACTTTATCATGCATATAGCTTATTCAAAATTCATAGAAAATAGAAAGTACTTCAATTTTCTAACTTACTTAGTATATTGAGTACTACCCAAATCTGTCTTCATGAGTCACCATTCTGTTTCAAAGCTCAGGCTTCCTGACTATAAAGATAATCGGTAAGGATACTGATGACATACATTCCTCCGCCACTGTCGCCAGACTTTCCAACAAATTCTAGCTATTAGAGAGAGGGAGAGAATGTTAAGGGTCTGAAGCAGGTAGTCTTCCTGTCAGATGATGTTAGAGAAAACTTCTGAGCTATTAGGTAGAAAATGAGGCTACAGGGTAATAATACTAGATTACCAGTGGCAGAAACAAATTATCAATGAACCACAGGGGAGAGAGGTAAAACAGGACTTACTGGATCATCTGCCAGCAGAGTGAGGTACTGATCAAGAACTTGCTTGGAGATGTTGTAGCCAACAGGCAGGGATCTGAAGATCTATGGAGCAAAAAGACACATGGAAATTGGGCTTGAGAACATACCAAAAGAAAAGGTGGGCTCATTTTAGATTTAAAAAGTATCAAATAAAAACAAAAATGTCTGAAGGTATTCCTAGTGGCATTCTTTGTAAAAGTATAAAACAAGAAACGATCCACATGCCCAGGGATAAGGAATTAATTAAAAGAAAGTACAGCCAAGGGTGGTATTATACTCCTGTAATCTCAGCTACTCAGAAAAGCCTAAAGCCCTAGAAACATGAGTTCAGGCCTGGGTAAGTAGCTTCTTGAGAGGCTGAGCTTAGGATCACAGCTGAGGGCCAGCCTAGGCAGTTTTCAAGACATGTCAACTGACAGCTGGGCACGGTAGCATGTGCCTATAACCTTACTATGATGGATAGGCAAAAAACAGATGATTGCAACCCAGGAATGTACCCAGTTAGGAATTGAGACCCTATCTTAAAAATAACCAGTGTGGGGGCATGGCTCAAACAGTAGAGTGCCTATGTAGCAAATGCAAGGCCCTGAGTTCAAATCTCAGTACTTAAAAAAAAAAAGATCTGGGGAAGAGAGCACCACTGGTTCACATCTAGCTATTCAGGAGGCTGAGATCTGAGGATCACAGTTCAAAGCCAGCCTGGGCAGAAGTCTATGATATCTACAATTAACCACCAAAACACTGGAAGTGGAGCTGTGGTTCAAGTGGTAGAGTAGCAGCCTTGAGCACAAAAGCTCAGGGACAGCACCCAGGCCCTGAGTTCAAGCCCCATGACCAACAATTAAAAAAAAAAAAGTCTGGCTATACACCTATAATCCTAGCACTTGGCATGCTAAACTAGGAGAATCTTGGATTCTAGTCTAGCCTATGTATAAGGAGACCCAGTCTTTTTTTTTTTTTTTTCAAAAAAGGTCTGTATAAAGGTACATAACTAAACTATTAAGAGGGATCGTTAGGAGCTGGGATTATGCAAAACTATGTATGAAATGTAAAATTCTAGTATATTACAAACAATACAAAGTACAGATCTTACAGGTCTAGTTTAGCAAGTATCGATAATTGTATATACCTATATAACTACCAGTTGCAAGATCTAGAACAGTTCTACCACTCCTAAAAGCTTGGCAAACTAATGGTACAGAATTATCTATTCCTATTTTGAAATTATCTATTCCTATTTTTTACCTATTTGAAAATAGGTCATCTAGCTACTTTTGTCATAAGAAAAAAACATATTTAATTTGCTCTTTTTTTTGTTTTTGTTTTTGGTCTGTCATGGGGCTTGAACTCTGGGCCTGAGTGCTGTCCCTCAGCTCTTCAGCTCAAGGTTAGTGCTCTACCACTTGAGCTACAGCGCCATTTCCGGTTTTCTTGTGTTTTATTGGAGATTAGAGTTTCACAGACTTTCTTGAACCGCAATCCTCAGATCTCAGCCTCCTGAGTAGCTAGGATTACAGGCGTAAGCCACTGGCACCTGGCTTTACATTTGTTCTATAGCAAGTTAGAAACTTAAAAACAACAGGGGTGCCGGGCGCTGGTGGCTCACGCCTGTAATCCTAGCTACTCAGGAAGCTGAGATCTGAGGATCGCGGTTCATAGCCAGTCCGGGCAGGAGAGACTGTGAGACTCCTATCTCCAATAAACCACCAGAAAACCGGAAGTGGTGCTGTAGCTCAAGTGGTAGAGCGCTCGCCTTGAGCTGAAGAGCTGAGGGACAGCGCCCAGGCCCAGAGTTCAAGCCCCACGACCGACAAAAAAAAACAAAAAAAAACAACAACAGGGGCTGGGAAGGTAGCTCAGTGGTAGAGTGCTTGCCTTGCATGCATGAGGCCCTGGGTTCGATTCCTCAGCACCACATAAGCAAAAAGAAAAAAGCCGAAGTGGCGCTGTGGCTCAAGTGGTAGAGTGCTAGCCTTGAGCTGAAGAGCTGAGGGACAGTGCCTAGGCCCAGAGTTCAGGCCCCACAACCGGACCCCCCCCAAAATATGCAAAATATTAAAATTAATAGACTGAAAAATGTATAAGGGATGAAATAATGCCTGCATAAAATGTGCTGCAGAGTCCAAAAAGGAAATACTTCTCACCGTTTTATTTATTTAGGCAAGGTCTCCTTAGGTTGTCCAACTTGGCTTTGAACTCTGGGCTCAAGAAATTCTCCTGCCTCAGAGGCCTATACCACCACTTCTGACTACTAAAGTCTTTTTCTTTTCTTTATTATTACTGTTATTATTATTATTATTTTGGTTGGTAGTGGGGCTTGAACTCAGGATCTGGGTGCTATCCCTCAGCTCTTTTGCTCAAAGCTAGCTCTCTACCACTTTGAGCCACAATACCACTTCCAGTTTTCGGGTGATTAACAAGATATAAGAGTCTCATGGACTTTTCTGCCTGGGCTGTCTTTGAACTGCAATCCTCAGATCTTAGGCTCCAGAGTAGCTGGGATTATAGGCATGAACCACCAGTTCCTGATTCTTCTTTGAACTGCGATCCTTAGATCTCAGCCTCCAGAAGAGTTAGGATGGGCACCTGGCCCCTATATTCTTAAAATGATTAGGAATACATTGTACTTGACAGATATTAGTTTTGTAAAAGTTGGATCCTAAGGGACCAAATATTTCTTGGCCCTTCTGCGAACAACAGAAACTTTCCCAAGTCTCAGGTTTGTGAGAAACTAGCACAGAGCAGGTCACTTACTTCATTGGAAGACAGCGGCTGGGTGAAGGGGGCGCTGGAAGGAGTGGTGACCTCACTCATCCGGAGCATAGTCCGCACAATCTCGCTGCTGGTCTGTGTTTGAAAAGTAAACTGGAATTCAGAATTTCTTGCTGTTGACCCTGGGTATATGGAAGTGCTCACTGCTGGTCCCCAAGTGAAAGACCCTGTTTCCTGTTGGCCCTTGATGAGAACCCACTTAGATATTACCTGGTCCATCCTGTTGGCAACTGCGCTCACAATAGCTTGGTCCCTGAAGTGTTGGTGGAATCTGTCCAGGTTGATCTGCCAATAAATCCCATCGTCTGGAATGGGCTGAGGAGGAGAAAAGGAGTTGGAGAAACATTTAAGACAATGTGGAGCTCAGAATCAACTGTTTACCATTTCTAACCCAATCCCTCCCTCCCTTCCTTTCACATACTGGAGTTTGAACTCAGGCCTTAAGCTTACTTACTACTCGGAGGCTCTACTACTTGAATTATGCCATCAGCCCCCAATCTAGTTTCTTAAGCTAGAAACTTAATTTTCCCCAAACTTTTGCTCTCTATTATCTATCATTCCAATACTAAACATGATCTACTCTTTACGTTTATCAGATATCTATCTTTTTGGTTTGGGGAAGAGACTTGAATTCACGGCCTCATGTTTCCATGCTTTTTCACTCAAGGTTAGTGCTCTACCACTTGAAACATAACTCCACTTCTGGCTTTTGGGTGATTAATTGTAGATGAGTTGCATGAACTTTCTGTAGGGGCTAGCTTTGACCCTTGTTCCTCAGATCTTAGCCTCCTGAGTAGCTGAGATTACAGGCCTGAGCACTGGTGCCTGGCTGGACATGCTAATTTTGAATGATGCTGAACAGGTGTCTAAATTTAAGGGTTCAAACCTATGTGTAACTTCCTAGACTCACTTCTCACTACTGGCTCTAGCAGGTCTAAATGTTCCAGACATAATGAACAGCTTACGATTTCTTCTAGTTCTATTTTTCATAAGCTATAACCTCTGTTCAGTACATGAAACTGAGCTAGAGAGAGGAGCCCACAATGAAGTTTACGCCACATTGTTCAATTATGACTTCCATAATCCTACTTCTTAGCTCAGGAAACTTTAAGCTCTCTTCTGGCCTTCCTCTTCCTGGCCTGCCTCAGGTTAAGATTCCTAATCAAAAAGCCCCATCATCACCTGTCTGTCATCTGTGTGTTTCCGCTTCTTGGCCCTGGGCTCCCCAGCAGCATCCTCATCAGATGATCTCCTCCTTTTGCCTTTCCCTACCAAGTAACCAACCAATAGTTAGGCTACATACTATATGATGTCAGGACCTGAGAGCAAGTCCTCTCTGTTTTTTTTTTTTGCCAATCTTAGGGCTTAAACTCAGAATCTGAGTGCTATCCTTGACCTTTTATGCTCAAGGCTAGTGCTCTACCAATTGAACTACAACTCCACTTCTGGCTTTTTGGAGGCTTAATTGGATATAGGAGTCTCATGGAGTTTACTGACTGGGGCTAGCTTTGAACCATGATCTTCAGATCTTAGTCTGCTCCCTGGTAGCGAGGATTCTAGATATGAGCCACTGGCACCTAGCTCAGTAAGTATCTCTTCATCCCAAAGACATCTACACACGTCTGCCTCCAGGTTAGTGTTTTTTAGTAGGCTGACAAGTTAAGTCTCAATGTCAATTATGACAATCTCTGAAACTAAGCATCCTTAAAAAGCAACTCATAATTTTTCTCTCCATACTGTCTTTTTCCAACCCTTCCTTCAAATGAACAGCACCATTATTCTATCACATGTGCAAGTCAGAAACAGATATCAAAGATATCATTCTTTTTTTTCCCTTTGATACAGCTGCTTGAATACAGGACCTGGGTACTGTCTCTTAGCTCTTTTTGTTTTGTTTTTTTGTCGGTTATGAGGCTTGTGGGCACTGTGCCTGAGCTCAAGACTAGTGCTCTACCACTTGAGCCACAGCGCCACTTCCGGCTTTTTCTGCTGCTGTGGTGCTGAGGAATCGAACCCACGGCATCATGCATGCGAGGCAAGCACTTGACCACTGAGCCACCTTCCCAGCCCACTTCCAGCTTTTTGATGGTTAATTGGAGATAAGAGTCTCTCAGACTTAACTGCCTAGACTAACTTCAAAATGTGACCTTCAGATCTCAGCCTCCTGAACAGCTAGGATTATAGGCATCAGCCAATAGCATGTGGCTTGATCAGTGTTTTATTCATTTAATAATCAGTGAAAAAGAATCTACAATTAGTGCAAGTCACAAGTCTATTGAGAAAATTCCTTACCTATCAGGGTCAGTTTAGGAATCAGGTACATGTCCTTTTCATGAATGACAAGGGTAGGGGCAGGTGGTGGAGGCCCAGTGTCTAAGTTCTCAGAGTCAGGAACCAATGGGCAGCGTTGTACAAAGTGTGTGTCTGCCAGTCGTACAAATGTGTTTGATACTTCAGCATAGTCCATGGTCTTGCCATCTGTGCAATAGCAAGAGAGAGGCAGGTAAGGTGGTGTGAGACAGCAGGGTTACTTCTGCAGCCAGTTAATCTATGCGTAACAGCTGTCAATGCAGCACTGACCCTCCATGGTCTCTGTGAGCCGGTCTGCCACTTTCTTCACAACAGCGGACATTGTCATTTTGCCATTCAGCAGGAGCTCCTCAACAATCAGCTCTCCAGTGTCACTGTACAGCGTTTTGGTGGTATAGATATACCGGGGGTACCTAAGCATTCGCAACACCCGGCTGCACTGGGCTTCATACTCCACCACGCCACGTTTGTGCACTTGGTATATCACCAGGTTATGCTGGATGAGGACACACAGGGCTTTTTTCACCTATGATAGACCAAGAGAAAGAATGGAAAGACCTGAAGACATTATTGCTGGCAATATTTTGCCCAATAGCTTTTTCTTTTTTTTTTTCTTTGTGCTTGTTTTGGGCTGGAACTCAAGGCTTGGGCACTGTCCCTGAGCTTTTTCACTCAAGGCTAGTGCCCTACCACCTTGAACCACTTTCTAGCTTTTTCATTAACATCTGGCACCCTACCACTTGAGCCACTCTTCCAGTCCAATGCTTTGCTGGTTAACTGGGTTGGCTTTGAATTGAGATTCTAAGATTTCACTCTCTAGAGTAGCTATGACTGCAGGCATGAGCCACCTGTGCCCAGCCAGTCCTATAGCACCGGGATGGTTAGAAAAGAATCTATTTCTCTGTTGGCATAAGCTAATGAAAATCAAGTATCGATGGAAGAAAGTTTGTTCATATTTCTGTCACCTTTATCTTTCACACTACAATTTACTTTCCTTCTATTCTAATCTTTTAAAGGTGGAACTGATTAGTAGACTCACTGTGAATAGGGCAAACTTTATTCACAAGGGAAGACAAAGACAAGGGAAGTGCAGAGATTTACTTAAGAACTAGGAACATTTTAAGAAAAAAAACCTCAAAGTCTGAGTATTATTTTCTTTTCCCCCAGATAACATTATTCTGATCTTAGGGGCTGGCTTGAGGATTAACAATATTCAAACACAGATGAAGGAAATTAATAAGTGAACAAGTTGACGTTATCTAAACATACCTGATCCACGGATGTTCCTGTGTCATGGGCAATTACTCTAAGTGGCTGACTGCCAGTTCTGATTAGGTGGGCTCCGATTTTTTCTACAATCTCTCCGAAATGCTCTTGAAGCAACAAAGAACACAGTTTAATTTCTGCTTGAGTCATTTTATAGGGAAGTCTCAGAGCTAGGGAAAAAAAAAGTAAAAAATCATATATTCTTTCTGGAGGGCAATTTTGTGTGTGTGTGTGTGTGTGTGTGCGCGCGCACATGCTGATAAGGCTTGAACTCAGGGCCTCATGCTCTCATTGGGCTATGTGTGTTTGTCATGAGACTTGAACCTAGGCCTGGGTGCTGTCCCTGATCTTTTTCAGCTCAAAGCTAGAGCTACTTCGAGCACAGCGCCATTCTCACTGGGCTTTTTTGATCAAGTCTGGTGCTCTACCACTTGAGCCACCATACTTTCCACTTCCAGCCTTCTGCTGGCTAATTGGAGAGTCTCAAGGGCTTTTCTACCTAGAGTGACTTGCAACTGTGGTCCTCTGACCTCAGCCTCTTCAGTAACTGGGATTATAGGTATGAGCCAGCAGCACCTGGGTTGGAGGGCAATTTGACAACACATACTAAAAGCTTTAAAGCTGTTACTATATCAACTTAAAAATTTTATTATTTTAGCCGGGCGCTGGTGGCTCACGCCTGTAATCCTAGCTACTCAGGAGGCTGAGATCTGAGGATTGCGGTTCAAAGCCAGCCCGGGCAGGAGAGACCGTGAG